CATACATACATACATACATACATACATACATACATACATACATATATTGTATGTATATGTGCCTTCGTGTGTAGCCTCATTGGGATGCGATGCTGAATAGGGAAATACTTTAGAAAACGTGGCTCCAACAAAACTTGTGGCTTCGGTTTGTGGTGTGGCTAAGCTGAATGTGACTGTGTTAATGTTATCCTTTTAAATGTGGGTCCTTTGCCTCTTCTCTTAAATCTTCAGATTGACAGCATAGTTTAGATGTATTTTTAGTGACTTAATGGGCTCTAGATGTGTGAGAAAGTTGAGTGCAAAGGGATGCTTACTTAAAAAGAAAGGGCTTGCTTGGCAGATTGGCTGTGTTGTATCATTCTTGGAATGCTTTATTTTCTTTTGAACTTTACTGGTATTTCTTAATCTCAGTTCCAAATCTGCCTTCAGGTACATACAGGTAGTCCTTGATTTAAATGTGTTGCTGAGGAGACCTTTGTTAAGTTAGCTGTGCCCCATTTTATGACCTTTCTTATCACAGTTGTTAAGTGAATTGTTGCGGTTGTTAAGTTAGTAACACAGTTGTTAAGTGAATCTGGCTTCCCTATTGACTTTGCTTGTCAGAAGATCACCAAAGGTAATCACATGACCCTGGAACACTGCAACCATCATAAATACATACCAGTTGCCAAGCATCTGAATTTTGATCACATGACCATGGGGATGCTACACTGGTCGTAAGTGTGAAAAATGGTCATAAGTCACTTTTTTCAGCGCTGTTATAACTTTGAATGGTCACTAACCGAATGGTTGTAAATCAAAGACTACCTGTAGTTGTAATGGCTTGGGCAAAGGGAAAAAAATAATTCTAAGAAACTGTTCGCCACTTTTAAAAGGAGCAGCAGAACTGCATTCTCAAGAGTTCAATCCTGTGATATTTTCCTAACTTATATTTACATTTTAGGCAAATGGCAATAGCTCCTATTGAATTTCCATTTTGTATACATGTGACAATTATGAAAAGCATTTAAGTTTGTATCTGAAATGTTCATAAATTTGAGTTTATTCATTTTATTTCATACATTTGTTGTTCCTGCTAGGATGTGCTGTTTATGTAAGATACATAAGAAATGTATTTAGAAAGAACCAACTAACAGTAATGATGAAGGTAATTTGGTGGATTTAAATTTTGTGTAAGAGTGAAATGTATTTTAATAACTTAGTAATGACATTTCTGACATACAGTATACAGTACTGTATACTCAATTACTATATACACCATATGGTGCCCATGCCTTAACAAAAAAATTTCTGTAACTGAATTTGAATGTATTTTTTAATATAGTGTAATGTCCCATCAATCTGTTGGTCTAAATTTAACATTGACACTTTGATTTTATAAAATCCAGAAAGGAAATTTAATTTTAGTTGTTCCATTTGCCTTAGCTTCTATTTCAGTTGGTATCTATGATGCAGTATTGTGTTATAATGGCAGTCTGTTAGTTCCAGTAGTTATTTCTTTATGAGCATTGGTTTCAAAATAGTCAAGTACGTTAGTGTAAGTCTACAATTCCCTACAAAGCTGTTATTCAAAACAATGATCTTAAACATGTTTATCATACTATTACATATGTTTGCATACATAGAGTGCCATTTGCTTGGGACAAAACAATGTGTTTTTATATCAAATATGATGTTCCATTAAAACATAATACTGGAAGATATTAAAATTAAAATGATTGGACAACCTCAAGGGATTTCTTAATTTACAAAAAAGGTAGAGATGGAGCAATAAAGAAATTTAAAAATTGAATATGAAAAAAATATTAGATATAATACTAGAACTGAAGACTAGAGAATCAAACGCAATGGATGAAAAAGAAAATATATTACCCACAGTTCACTTTCTCAACAGGTATTAATCATATACATGGCATTAAACAATTTTGAATGCAGTTCTACATATACTTACACAAGAATAAACTCTGAACTAAATACCAGAATATCAATTTCCAAATGTAGAAGGATAGAATTATGCATTACATAGCCTTTGGATGGCTGTTAGTTGTAAAGGATGAATACAGTTTATTTTTGCTTATAATTTATCATTTATCTTTCCATTTTTCTGGCGAGGAGGGCAAGCTTATAATCCATTTGCAAACATGTAAAAATGTATTTAGTACATATAAGGGCCTTTAATGTAACATTGTTCTTCTTTTCTTACATCCAATGTAATATGTGCTTGTGATTAGGTTATTTGTGCAAATACAGAAAGCCTTTGTTATCTTCAGTTTTGTTCTAGTGTTTTACATATGTATAATTTTTTAGAATTGTTCTGTATTTTATATGCCCAAATCCCAATAGTTCTGAATAGTCACCAACCTTTATTTGTGCTCTTCATCCTGTCCTAATGACTTCACATGAAGTTGTGAATTCTTCTATAGAATCTTCAAACAGAGTTGCTGTAATAGAGTCTGTTTTGAGACGGTGTTGGATTATATGACAACTAAGTCTCTTTCCACCTCAGATTCTATGAGTAGATTGCCAGCTTGTATAGATAAATATTTTTAGACAAATGCCTAGATTTATACATGTGTCTATAAACAACAATAGTATCAATTATTTGTAATGTGTTTTATGTAAATATGGCATCAGAATTGTAAATAATTTTCAATATTAACAAGAAGCATTGCTGAGAAGCTAATTTTTTCAATCTCTGCTATCAGATTAGAATTTTCCCTTTTTAATTGCAATTGGATATTAACAATGCGAGCTATTTTATTATATGCTTTTTTATATCCGTTAGATAAAATATCACTGAAATGAGTTTGATCCAGAGGCTTCTGTCATTAAAGTAAGAATGGAAGCAATATTTAATAATGATTTGTTCCCAATAGAGCCAGTTCTGTTCTGTGTAATGGAGGGACCTTTTGAACAGTTTGTGGGGTAGAAGGATTGCGGTAAAAAAAAACCCCAAACCAATTCAATAGAGCAGCTAAGAAGTTGGGCTAAAAACCAGGAAAAATGTATTTTAGGCATGGGAGATGGCTGGGTGACATTGAGACAGTCACTCTCTTGGCTCAACTTACCTCACAGGACTGTTGTGGAGAAAAGAGGATACATATGAACACTGCCTTGAGTTGACAATACAAAAGAGGGATTTAAAAAATTGAAAAGAGGAACTTTTTCAATTTCTATTACTGCTAACAATATTTTCTACTGCATCAAAGTATACCATCGTGTGATTCCAGTTGGCAGCAACCATTTGCAAACATGTTTTCACTTGTAAATTGCAGTCCAATTTTATGTAAAGCAGTTTTTTTCTGAAATTATGAATATGTACACTATTTTGGATGGATGAAGAATTGGGTGACCTTTGCATTTTTGGGAAAAAGACAATAAGATTATGACTCTTTATTAATATCTAAGGCAGTAGAGGGAAAGGAATAGGGTCAGTGCAAGAGCCAACTTAAGATACTTAATATGACTTCCAGGTTTCAGTTTCCAACCCTTTTGGGCCAATAGATGGATTTGGAACTGTGCCGTAGTTGTACTAAATAAAGT